ATGGAATATTCATGATACAATCTTCTAACGATTCAATCATTTGTCTATGATCTGGACTCAATTCTTTCTTTTATATTACCTATGTGGTAGCATACCTTCCAGCATACGAGTTCTAAGTATCGAAAGGTCTAATTAGAGAGTAAAAGAAGAGTTTGAGACGATACGATGTCTTGCTTGATGTTCCAGAAAAGCATAAGGGAATCAAAGGAGAAGGTTTTAGAAAGAGAAGAGTAAGGATAAGAAGAAGGCAAGGGAGAAGGTGACGAAAATGGATAAGTCCTCCGGATTAAGCCCGTGAAAACAAAGGAGCTGATGGTTACTCTAAGTTATAGAAAGCTCAATATAGCCTGAATGAACTCAAAGGAGTTTAAGATGGAAGAGATGGAATGTTGCCTTGGTAGCAGAGTGAGGGTAGTTGATGGATCAACACTAAGGTGAATCAACTATAGATGGATAAAAGTTCAACAGTATGAGATGAGATTAGACAATCAGTCTTAAGGATAAGCAACGAGAGTAACCTGGAGTTGGTTGCAGACCTCAGGGTCGATAAATCAAAATAAGAGTTATGGTATAGTATGACCTACCCTGATGTAGTAAAGTCATACGGATGGATAAACGGATCTATGAAATAAGGTATAGCCATATTCAAGTTCTACAAAGTACCGAGCGAAGAACTTCAGTAGACCTATAGATGCCCAGAGTGGAATCCTATTAAGCCTTGTATATGCTTACAAAGTAAGGCCTAGAGATTGGCTAAAAGCTGGAGGAAAAGGGAGAGAAGAGTAGCATAGGCACACTTACTAGGTCAGTATCGTAGAGGCTGCATGATAGAAGGTAGCAACAATTTGTACTGACGTCCCTTTTGCCTGGGGACTCTGCGTTTCATGCCCGCAAGTCCCCGATAGACAAATCAAGAGCCCTCCAAGGAGGCTATCAGCTCAGCGGAAGATGTTGCTGCACTCCATTCGCATCGGAGTTACTTGTTTGGTTAGTATGATTTAGAAGTGTATTGGCGGGACTCTGTCCCGACTTTTATGAAAATTATGTATTTTTAGAGGCTTGTAGACAGATGTCATGTACGTAAAAGACCGTATGGCCTGGTCGGCCTATGTTTGGTGTACGAGTGGTTAGTTTGCCCTTCTAAGCTCGTATCCTTATGTATAAGTTTGTATCACATGTGTATTCTACTTCTCTCACGACAGCCTTCCGGCTCAGTTATCTATGATAGTATGACATGAAAAGATACGTTATGTTGGTACTCGGTTGATTAAGGTACCGGGTGCCCGTCGCGGCCCATCCAGGCTCTGGGCTCATGTCCATTATTTACTAATTTTCATTCCTTACATACTCGGTACGTTATATGTACTGACCTCATGTACGTAAAAGATTGTATGGCCTTGTCGACCTATGTTCAGTGTACGAGTGGTTATTTTGGTTGGTATCACATGTTGTATTCTACTTATCTTACGACAACCTTCCGGCTCATTTATCTAAGATAGTATGACATGAAAATATACGTTATGTTGGTAATCGGTTGAGTAAGGTACCGGGTGCACGTCGCGGCCCATCCAGGCTCGGGCTCATGTCCATTATTTACTAATTTTCATTCCTTATATACTCTGTACATTATTTTTACTGACATCCCTTTTGCCAGGGGAAGCTGCATTTCAGGGAAGTACGAAGAGGAATATTGAAGTATTATGACATGTGATACATGGGGTGGCAACATTAGAGTGTTACAACAAAAGAGTATATGCCATCCTCATTTTGAGAAATAAGTTCGCGACTCTAACGTAATTAACAGAAGGAAAAGTTAGACCACAGAGTAATAGAAATCAGCATGGACTGGTTATAATATTGCATTACGGAAATATTATAATCATCAGCATCATGAGAATTTCATATTGCATTACGGCAACAATAGAATGAATAGACGACAGAAGAAGATCCATGATGAATTCAAAGAATGGTCATTAAGGGAGACGTTTCCCTAAACCAAACAATATGAGCAAAGTTAAGCTTAAGGGACTGTATGTGCCGGTTATACTAAGTGTCACCATTGCGAGTGAGGAGTTTTGTTATCCTTGGTACATAAGGGTTACCGCAAGACGAGTAAGGGCCATTGATGATGTGAAAGGACGCCAAAGATGAAGAGGAAAAACATCTATAGGCAGGTCGTCATAGCTCAAAGTCTTAGTATTCCCCTAAACGGGGAAATATAAAATGATAAAGGAAGAATGCGATAAAAATGAGAAAGGGATGAGATTGCACTTATCCAAATATTACAGATATGTTATGATTCCAGAACGTTATGTAAGCACGACGTCAGAAAAAGGAAGTAAAGGATTCCTGCCCGGGATGTTATTGATAGATAAAGAGCCAGTACGTGAGGTAAGTTAAGACAAGAAAATAACCCAAGAAAGATTACGCTGAATATGGATATGAGAATAGACCGACAAGTAGTTAGTAGTTGATTCAGGAAAACCCTAGTCATGACTAGACAAGGAGTTACAGACAAATCAGCATACCATGATAAATGTAGTAAACCCAACGTGGAGAATTCAGCCTCGCAATAATGTCATTATAATACTTGAGATATATTCAAATAGGAGTGGGGTAGTTAAAGGTACCGTATGAGTGTTACGGGTAAAAAAGAAAGTGCCACTAGAAGGCACTAAAAATATCAGTTCAGAAGCAACCCTACAACAAGGGCACGGAGGTAAGCAACTACAGATGATTATAGGCAAGGAAGGACATCAAAAAGGTCCGTAATAAGCTTACAGCTTTACTATGGCTAATGAACGGGAAGTAAAATAAAAAGTAATATTCGAGATAATATGAGTTGTATGAAAACTATGGCATGTGTGGGCACTAAGATAAGCTAAGTATAGACGCAACAAGGGGGAGAGAAAGACCAGGAAAAGTAATATCTAACGTTGAAAGAAAGCTAAGATGGAGCGAAAGAAATTATTCGATCAATGATCCAAAGTGGGTTATGTTATGAACGCACTTAAGGGTTCAGAGTTTTATACATGCAGCATATACAACCGTAGAAGATTCTGGTATACGTTATCTCTTGGCCCTCCTATAGCATCCATATATCGTCGATGCATATCTCTTGGCCCTCCTATAAAAGTAACAGGGAGGAATGTTTTCTTGCCAATCTTGGAAGCTTCTGTTTCACCAAGTCTTAAAAATCAATAAGTCCTTGTAGCACATGTATTCGAAACAAATCTTGATTTAAAAAATAAAAATCTAATCTTTGTGTTTCTAGCTTTATGAACACATCTACTATGAATTGCTGAAATAATCTTCCACAATGTAAGACTTCATTTTTTTCATCCTCTCTTATCTGGAATTTGTAACAATAATACTCACGGCAAGAAACCGTCACACGGTTTCGTTTTCCTTTTTTCATAGACTGAGCTTCCATATCAAGAAATCCATCGGGTATATCTTTCGCTCACGTGGTCATGCGGTGCATCAGGGATGTCTTGACCGCTATTTATCTTCGCTAAAGGAAAGGCACTAATTTCCTAACCGAAAAAGTGGGCGGGTGCCTTGTAAGTTTTTTTATTCCTTCCTTTTGTTGTACTTCTGAGGTTGTCTTGTCTGATCATTGAAGTGAATGTCTTAAGCCATTATCAATCTTTGCTGTTCTTTATTTTTCTGATTTGGCAAAATTCAATTTCTCTGTGTCACTGGGTTGTTTTCCTATCACTAATCTTGTATTTTAGTCTACTTTATTCTAGTATTTCCTTCTCAAACTTAAAAAGGTTACTTTATGTTAGAGACTTACTATGCGGGATGTATTATTGTGCTCCTTAGTTGGCCTTCCGTCTAATTCCTCAAGTTTAGAGCAGTAATTGGCTCGTAACTTTTACGCAGTTATACCAAAAGACTTGTTATCGAAGGAGGTCATATTGTAAACCCGGATCAGGTTCAGAAACTCATTTATATTCTTCTTCTCTGCTCTCTTATGCAGTGAATTGCTGAATTATTGTCATTTATTCATTTTTTCAGGGGGAGTTCCTCTGTCCTGTATGCCGTGGACTTGCCAACTCAGTACTGCCAGCATTACCTGGAGACACTAAAAGGTCGACACAGTCTGTTTCAACTAGTCCATCAGATGTTGTAGGCCTTTCAGCACTTCTTTTTCAAGAAGCTTTATTTCTCCTGCAAAGCGCAGATGATGTTGCTAGAAGTAAAGAGATTCTACACAGTTTTCCACTTCAGCAATTTGGGCAGATGAGAATAAATCTTGAATCTGTGGTTGGGTATTATGTGAAATGTATTTCCCAGACAAGGATAAGATTTCAAAATCCCGTAGGCTTAGTCATTCTCTGATCTTGTTTGACACACTCAAGTACTCGCTTGTATCAACAGAAATTGATGCTCGATCAGTGACGACTTCTTTAGCTCCAAACTACAGCCTTGATGCCCTATACAAAGAACTCAAAGCTTCAAACTGTTTTATATTAGCCTTGTTACTAAGTATTGTACAAAGGACACGGACAAACAATTCACTTACTGTCTTGTTGAGGTTAAGAGGTATCAGTTGTTTGCAGAGTCTATATGCTCAGGCACTTCTGCAAATGAGCCTCCAGGCAGTCCATCTGTTGGAGGTACGGTTCCTGCTCCATAAGTTACTTTTTATGATCCTATTATTTGTAAAGGATTAAGTTGAGATTTTGGGAACATGAATATAGTGGTAATTGATGTCAGGGGAATCTAGAAGCAATTTATTATTGTTGGTGTGCTTTGCAGGTAATATGCAAGACATTTTGGAATATTCTGAAACAGAATTACAGTACCCCGATATTCAGTTCTGGAAACGAGCTTCTGATCCAGTTCTTGCACATGATGCTTTTTTATCATTAATGTAGGTGTTATATTGCCTTCTGAGCCCATTTCTGTCGTGCGAGGAATCATTCTTGTCTCTTGTTCATCTTTTCTATGTTGTCACTATCACTCAGGTTATTGCAAATTTTCTTCGTCCAATCGTTATCTTTGCTACAGATTAGGTCTTTTGTGCTTGATTGGTGCTAAGTCATTTCTTTTCTTTTTAGATTATAATAATTACCTATTGCAGAAAGCGGCAAACTAGTTTGACCGAGTCAAGAGGCAGTGATTCTCTGATTACTGACGTCTACAGAATAATGGAGGAATATGGAGTTGCTTATAGATATTTTGATTCTATTCATATTGAAACTTGTGACATCAAAGATGCAATTCGTAGCTAGAGTTTTCCTTATTTAAGAAGATGTGCATTATTGCGGAAACTAATTCGTTCTTCTATATCAGAACCATTTAGTGACGGGAATAAAGTTTTAGATGGATTACCATATTCCATGGCTGAAACAATGGAATGTGGTGAAAAAATTGCAGATGAGTTCACTGAGATTGAAAAATTGGAAAAGTTATTTAAGATTACCCAACTTGATGATGTTATTAATGATAACATATTACATTTTGTGGTTCCAAGATGGTTGCATCGTTTCTCCAAGCAGTTTGACGCTCATAGTCTAAAGAGTGTTTTGTATTCTACCCCTGTTGTCCCATTTAAACTGATGCTTTTGCCTCATATTTGCCAGGACCTCTTACAGAGGTTGGTAAATACATGCTTACATACATTATTTGACTTGTCTAAACTATCTTTTTATAACCCTGGAATGTTCTGCTACTTTCAGGTATATTAAACAGCACTGTCCAGACTGTGGAGTTGTACAGGAGGAGCCTGCATTGTGCTTGCTGCGTGGTAAACTGTGCTCTCCGAATTGGAAGTCATGTTGCGGGTACAAATGCACTTGCAGTGCATCTTTCTTTTATTCTTCTAGTAGCCCCTGAAATTCTGTTTGACATTTGATTTCTTCAGGGAAAGTGGGTGCTAAACACATGCAATGATTTGTGGAGCGGGTACTGGGGTGTTCTTATTAGTCAGAGTAAGTGTTATTTCCTTTTTGTCTTGTTTCTTTGTCTTGATCTTTCTGATGCAATATGCCGTCTTTTAGGGCAAGTAGAATGACTTTATGATTGTCCTTTCATGACAGAAAACCACAATATTACTTCAAAAATCCGCTCATCAGGCATTATGGCCTTCCCCATACTTGGACGCATTTGGTGAAGAGGTAAGTCAGTGGTTTAGCTATCCTTGCAGTGTAAAAGGACTTGGATTGCACACGGTTAGTGTTTAGTTAACATCAATCTTTTTTTCTTCATATACATTCTTAAAAATATGGAGGAAGGAAGAAAATAGACCGTCTCACCCAAGGAGAAACCACTGAAAGTCTCAAGAAAGTCCTCCCAAATTGGAGTCAATTCAGTAAGGCACCAAAGTTATTTTCCGTGCTTTTCTCCACAAACTGAAGAAAGTAGAGTTGGAACTCTGGTCATAAATGGTCGCCTCTTTGTAGTCATCTGCTGACAAGTCACTTTTCATATTGACCAAAAGGATGTTTCCCATCACCATCCCTTTTTCTTCCGTCTTTCTTTCGCAATGCCAAACTCTCTCTCTTATATAACTAACCTGACATCCATCTTCTTCTGCTGCTTCTCTGTGTTGCCGCCAGTGAATATATCAACTTTGGTTTGGGGGTATGGATCCAGCTCATAGCAGAAGAAAGACTTTACTTCAAACGTTGGTAGCAATATCTTCTTTTCACTCGAAGATTTGGAACAGCTATTTGTTGTTCTATTCCTTTATTTCATCTTCCATCTTTTTCTTTTTGGGGCTATGTTGGAGCTTAGATTTATGTGGTGAAGAACGGGAAAAGTGATTTTTTTATAAGATGATGATAGGATACTCTCCGGCCACTCCAAAGAAGTACGAAGTTTCTAAAATCCTGGGGAAAAACTAACATGAATTTGAAACGTGGTATTTGTGTATAATTGATATATATAATGTTCTAATTGAGCAGCCCTGAGTTCAGTAATATTTGAAGGCCTTTTTGTGCCTCATGGTGGGCTTGGATCAGTGTTGTCAAAGGCGCGCTTAAGCCCTGAAGCGAGGCTCAAAACATGTTGAGCGCTTCCCCTCGCTTTGTGGGCACTTTAGTGTCGCATCAAGGCTCTAAGGCATACTTTTTTTCCTTGCCAATGAGTGTAATTCTTATCAGCCGCTCCACCAAAGTCACTTTCATGAGCTACGAAACATCCCTTTCCGGTAAAAGCAAATCCTACTTCTCTGCCACAGATGTCAAGCCTATTTATCTGCCACATGTTTATATGTTAGCAAAATAACTACGCTAAGCATGCCATAAATTAGCAAATCTGAACCATCAAGGGATTTTTTCTATTTCCTTGTGAAGAAAAGAAGACGAGAACAAAGTAACACAGGAAAAAATAATGACTGGATTGATCAGGTGCTTGCAGGTTGCAGTAACTTAGACAGTCAAAACAAAAGAAGAATCAGAGGGAGGCACTAAGAAAGTTTCCGCAACAACATTTTGTAAAAAATTATAGCAGAAAATCTCAATGCAGAAGCAGCAGTAGAGACTGCAACATGAATGCGGGATGGGATGGCAATGAGACAGGTCCATCCCACCCACAAATGAATGAAAGTGGAGAGATACTTAGCACGTCAATGTTGTTTTTGTTTCTTTTTATTTAGCAGCATATCTATCACCAAGTTCAGCTCAACTTAACAGAATTATTCTAGACGTCTTCTATTAGTAATTTTCCGTGTTAAACCTTTCTGATTCTTAACAAACTATTATGCTTTGATTAGATTTCCAAAACTAAATTAAATCTAGTGAAACATCATATTAGATTGTAATATTGCAAACTCATCTTGAATGCATAACATATCAGCTATCGTTACCCTGTCCCCGGCAATACCCTGCACAGAAACTATGCAACTTCATTTTGATTACCTGTCCAACTATCATTCAGAAAATTCAGTTTTCTTTAACTATTACTGAGCAAATTGGATAATGATTTTGGAACATAGGGAATAAAATGGCAAAGAATTAAATGCTTACTTGGACTGCCTTGGAAACCAGATGCAAACAAAAAAATCAAATTTGAGGACACTCATCTAGCTCAACTATATAGATGATTAAATACTAAAAACTAACATAACAGAACTTAAGGCTAGCATATTTTTTGGCTTACCGGGGTTGGGGGGAGGGGTGTGGTGCGCGAAGGAACGTAAAGAAATATGTTAATTCAAGCGATTCAAATTTTTACCATCAGTTTAGAAAAGGAACAGAGGGGCTGATGCAGCGTAGTCCAGTCATTTTACTCAGATTTCACAGGTTAATTCATACACTAGAGTTTTGGATGGCTAAAGATTTCCAAGAGAACTGCAAATTTAAAGATCTAATAACCCTCACCCCCACCCCACCCCCAACCCCAAAAAAAAATCCATGTGGATTAGTAAAATTAAACCAGGAATAAAGCTATTTGTATAGATTTTTAATCATATCTTTTGGTCCTCATATGAAACCTCAAAAGGAAAACATCCTCTATTTGGCCCATTTCATCCCAATACCCAATAATTTCTCTTTAGATAAAACGGGGTCCTCTAAAATGAAATGTTCTCTATATCTCATTCTTGTCCTTAAATTGACATACAAACTCTAACCAAACTAAACCAAAATAAGAAGACTTCTGGCAAACACTATCTGAAACCAGTACTCGCTAAAATCATGTAAAACTTGGACCTAACAGTCACAGACAAGGATGCCAAATATCCCTGTATTTAGAATCAAGTTGGTCTAAGACCTCTGATTTTTCCACGAGGCTCCTAGAATGCCGTACTATGCAGAAAATCCCAATAGAGTGCCTGTCCTTGCCCAAGATTGCATTGTTTATTGTAAAATCTCATTGACCAATTTTGAGCCTCCGCCTAGAATTTTGGTGCCAAGTCTGGAGTTCATTTGTTGGAAACCATTTTTTAAAATCTCAGCCACTTCATTAACATGGCTTTAAGTTTTTTAGCTCAGGCACTTCATTAACAGTGTTAACTCAAATATCAGGAAAAATAGTTTAACTTTGTACCAAAAAAAGGAATATAAGTACCATTAATCACGAATAATCACAAAAAGGAACTGTCTGGAGAACCCTGCTTCCAAGACAAGCAAATGAAAATGATCTATTCACGGATTGCATTACGTCTGAAGCGAACGTTTCTCGGAATAGGAAAACGTCAAAATTATAGACTAACCTCGATAATCTGTATATTAGACAGTAGCAGACCGCAGAACATTGGACATGCTGTGTCTGAGTCAAAACTCAGAACCAGACAGCTGATAACTTTTTACCATCTTTGACTAATTCCTGGGACCTAGTTAACCTGCAAGAGTCAAGATAAGAATAAAGATAAACTACCTGTCAGTAAGTAAAGACAATTAGACAAATATACTGAATATGGCGATCATGAAATGACCTTTACCAGACCTTACGAAATAGTCGAACTAAAGCATGAAAAAAGTGCCAATATTCGGCTGACGAAGCACCTTTGAACTACGATCCAGTCCATGAGAAGCCACCTAAATAGTTGGTTCAAATAAATTAGCAAGCTGCTATAACTAGAGGTATGGAATAAAGATAAATATGATCCAATGTCTCTCAGAGAAAAGCACCGGATTTAAAGCAATAGCTATGCTCATTTAGATTTCAGAACTCAGAAGTACTGGACAAAACTTCCTTGCTATGATGAGATAATCACGGTATTACTAACATCAAAGAAGAGACAACTGATAGAGGGAAGGGGAATAAGAAAAAGTAAAAAAAAAAAATAGTAGAAGACAACACTGCAAGACATGCAATTACTATAAGTCTAGTTTAGGCACATTTGGCAGTAGAGAACCGTGAACGTTATGAAACGAGAAAAAATGGCTCTTAACGTCTTACCTACTCAATTTACAGTACATTATATATGTATGAAAGCGCATATAACCGTCTAAGCAAAATGAGGTCCCTAAGTAGTGGCTAACTGTTTGCACTTTAAGACATTTTAAAGCTCAGAGGTGCACATGGAGTACATATTAACTCTAGCTTAAGCCATACTACTACTTTCGGTTTCTTCAACAGCTTTTTCTGTTAAATCCATAAGAATCAGAGAAGGAAGATTCTCTATTTCTCTTTTCCTCCATAGACGGGTCTTTTTTTTTAAACCCATTGTCTTGCTTTATCTCCAAAGACATAAAAAAGGCCACCTAACAAATAGCACAATAAGAGGAACTGCCTCCAAGGACATTAATCAGACCACCTAACAAATAGTAGAACAATAGAAACTGCGTCACCGCAGCAGTAAATTATACAAAGTTCTTTCTATACCATATGAGTTAAGGCAGCATAGCGTTCCTCATTTTCATACAATTGCTTCCCACGATACATTTCGCTATCCTGCAAGTATAAAGAGAAAATTTAAAATTAGATCCTCCAAAAGCAGTATAGTTCAAGGACCTAATTCACGCATGGTGCCTACCATAGATGTGCGCTAACTTATGTTATATTTTACATATTTCTAGTGAATATTCCTTTTCAAGTGAATATTTCTAGCAATCACCAATAAGACCTGAATAATTTTTAGTGAATAACTATAGTAATCGCCAATAAGACCTGAATAATGAGCATATGATCCCCAAGAATACTGCAACATGAAACTATCTATTGTTGAGGCAGCAAAATTGTACAGTACAGAGAGGACAATAGGGGAAAAAATAACACAAGAGCTCCAAACCAGACAATAAAGAGAATTTTTTTTTCTAAAAAGATCTATAATAATGATGCTATGATTGTGCAAGACAATATCACAACCATCACATAAATCTCCACTACTAATAGACTTAACAAGTCATTAACTAAATAAAACAAACACATTGTGGGCGTCGACAAATTACTTACTCAGGCACAAACAAAGACACCCATAGCCGTTTGAGAAGAATCGTATCCTACTGCGGTGCTTGCCTTCCGTTGCCTCGATACCCAAAGTTTTACCTTTCGATGCCTCGATACCCAAAGTTGGGAAAACAAAATAAAGATTTCCATTGGAAACCTATCCCATGCACTTTTGCAATTTTAGCGATCATACGAATTTTGTTAGAAGTGTGGCAGCTCAATCTGTAGAAGATGTAATTAAAATTTTAACCATAATACATCAACGAACCCAAAGAAAGAGCTTTCAGTGCTTTATTCCAGAACCAACAGAACAATNCTCATATGAAACCTCAAAAGGAAAACATCTTCTGTTTGGCCCATTTCATCCCAATACCCAATAATTTCTCTCTTAAGATAAAACGGGGGCCTCTAAAATTAAATGTTCTCTATATCTCATTCTTATCCTTAAATTGACATACAAACTCTAACCAAACTAAACCAAAATAAGAAGACTTCTGGCAAACACTATCTGAAACCAGTACTCGCTAAAATCATGTAAAACTTGGACCTAACAGTCACAGACAAGGATGCCAAATATCCCTGTATTTAGGATCAAGTTGGTCTAAGACCTCTGATTTTTCCACGAGGCTCCTAGAATGCCCTACTATGCAGAAAATCCCAATAGAGTGCCTGTCCTTGCCCAAGATTGCATTGTTTATTGTAAAATCTCAGTGACCAATTTTGAGCCTCCACCTAGAATTTTGGTGCCAAGTCTGGAGTTCATTTGTTGGAAATCATTTTTTAAAATCTCAGCCACTTCATTAACATGGCTTTAAGTTTTTTAGCTCAGGCACTTCATTAACAGTGTTAACTGAAATATCAGGAAAAATAATTTAACTTTGTACCAAAAAAAGGAATATAAGTACCATTAATCACGAATAATCACAAAAAGGAACTGTCTGGAGAACCCTGCTTCCAAGACAAGCAAATGAAACTGATCTATTCACAGATTGCATTACGTCTGAAGCGAACGTTTCTCAGAATAGGAAAACGTCAAAATTATAGACTAACCTTGATAATCTGTATATTAGACAGTAGCAGACCGCAGAACATTGGACATGCTGTGTCTGAGTCAAAACTCAGAACCAGACAGCTGATAACTTTTTACCATCTCTGACTAATTCCTGGGACCTAGTTAACCTGCAAGAGTCAAGATAAGAATAAAGATAAACTACCTGTCAGTAAGTAAAGACAAATATACCGAATATGGCGATCATGAAACGACCTTTACCAGACCTTACGAAACAGTCGAACTAAAGCATGAAAAAAGTGCCAATATTCGTCTGACGAAGCACCTTTGAACTACGATCCAGTCCATGAGAAGCCACCTAAATAGTTGGTTCAAATAAATTGGCAAGGTGCTATAACTAGAGGTATGGAATAAAGATAAATATGATCCAATGTCTCTCAGAGAAAAGCGCCAGATTTAAAGCAATAGCTATGCTCATGTAGATTTCAGAACTCAGAAGTACTGGACAAAACTTCCTTGCTATGATAAGATAATCATGGTAGTTACTAACATCAAAGAAGAGACAAGAGATAGAGGGAAGGGGAATAAGAAAAAGTAAAAAAAAAATATTAGAAGACAACACACTACAAGACATGCAATTACTATAAGTCTAGTTTAGGCACATTTGGCAGTAGAGAACCGTGAACGTTATGAAACGAGAAAAAATGGCTCTTAACGTCTTACCTGCTCAATTTACAGTACATTATATATGTATGAAAACGCATATAACCGTCTAAGCAAAATGAGGTCCCTAAGCAATGGCTAACTGTTTGCACTTTAAGACATTTTAAAGCTCAGAGTGCACATGAGTACATATTAACTCTAGCTTAAGCCATACTACTACTTTCGGTTCCTTCAACAGCTTTTTCTGTTAAATCCATAAGAATCAGAGAAGGAAGATTCTCTATTTCTCTTTTCCTCCATAGACGGGTCTTTTTTTTTAACCCATTATCTTGCTTTATCTCCAAGGACATTGTTAGAATAGTTATGTAAATAGGAGTAAATAACCCTAATCCAATATGTATTAGGAGTAGGATATGTTGTGTATATATATATAGGGCTTATCGTGTTTTAACACAAGTTAATAATATCAATATTATTTTCTCCCGTGCTTTCTCACATGGTATCAGAGTAGCAGTGAGAAAATATCCGGGAAAGTCGCCGTGCTTCAATTCCGGCGACCACTTTTCGGGCAGTTTTTGACTTCGTTCCTTCAGAACAGTTGGCTCGCCCTCAAAACCCGAGCCTATCCATAATTTTATTTTTTAGTTCCGACCACTTTGAGTTTTTCCGGCGACTACACTGATTTTTTCCGGCAGATACAGTAATTTTCCGGCAAAAACAGTGTTTCCTTCATCTGTTTCAGCGAGTTGTCAGTTGATTCTTTCTGTTATTTGGTGATAATCCAACAATGTCTTTGGGAGTCGATGCTTTCGGGTCTAAAAACCCGGGTTCTGGCAGTTCCGATGTTATGATTACCTCAGAACCTTTAATGGGAGGTTCAAACTACTTGGCTTCGGCTTCTTCTGTTGAGTTGTGTTGTAAAGGTCAAGGAGTTCAAGATCATTTAACACAAAAGGCTAGCGAAGGTGATGAAAAGGCCAAAACACTATGGGAGAAGGTCGATGCTCAGTTATGTAGTATCCTGTGGCGATCTATTGATTCCAAGTTGATGCCCTTGTTCCGTCCATTCCAAACATGTTATTTAGTTTGGGAAAAGGCTCGTAATTTATACACTAATGATATATCTCGTTTCTATGATGTAATATCGCGAATGACAAGCTTGAAGAAACAGGAATTGGATATGTCTACTTACTTGGGACAAGTACAGGCAGTCATGGAAGAATTTGAGATGTTGATGCCAGTTTCTGCTAGTATTGAAAAGCAACAAGAGCAACGACAGAAGATGTTTCTAGTTCTTACACTCGCTGGACTCCCTACTGACCTTGATTCAGTACGTGACCAGATTTTGGCTAGTCCGACTGTCCCCACAGTTGATGAATTATTCTCTCGATTACTTCGCCTTGCCGCAGCACCAAGTCACCCGGTGAGCTCATCACAGACACTTGACTCATCTGTCCTCGTATCCCGGTCAGTGGACAATCGGGCATCTCATACTATGGAGAATAGACGAGGAGGAGGTCGTTTTGGAAGATCTAGACCCAAGTGCTCTTATTGTCATAAACTTGGACACACTCGTGACGTGTGCTATTCTTTACATGGTCGCCCACCCAAAAATGCTTATGTTGCTCAGACTGAGACTACAGGTAACCAGGGATTTTCTTTATCTGAAGGGGAGTATAATGAGTTCTTTCAGTATCGAGCAAGTAAGCAGACATCTCCACAAGTAGCCTCTGTTGCTCAGACTGATACTTCTGTTGCTGTAATTCTTTTGCTTGTGTTTCCCAGTCTAGTACTCTTGGACAATGGGTTGTGGACTCAGCCGCTTCTAATCATATCTCTGGTAATAAATCACTTTTGTCAAATATTGCGTATTCACAGTCTCTTCCCACTGTTACTTTAGCCAATGGGTCTCAAACCAAAGCAAAAGGAGTTGGACAAGCAAATCCCCTACCCTCTGTCACTCTAGATTCCGTTCCCTATGTCCCTGGTTGTCCTTTTAATCTTGCATCTGTTAGTCGTTTGACTCGTGCCATCCATTGTGGTATATAATTTATTGATGACTCCTTTATTATGCAGGACCGCAGTACGGGGCAGACGATTGGAACAGGACTTGAATCAGAAGGCCTTTACTACCTTAACTCACTCGATTCCTCCAAGGCATGTCTAGTTACAGATCCTCCGGACCTTATTCACAGACGTTTAGGACATCCAAGCTCATCCAAGCTTCAGAAGATGGTGCCTAGTTTGTCTAGTTTATCTACATTAGAGTGTGAGTCGTGTCAGCTCGGGAAACATACCCGAGCCTCCTTTCCTCGTAGTATTGAGAGTCGTGTAGAGTCTGTTTTTTCTTTAGTTCATTCTTATATAGGGGGTCCTAGTAGAGTTAGTTCAACCTTGGGATTTCGTTATTTTGTTAATTTCATTGATGATCATTCAAGAAGTACTTGGATTTTCTTAATGAAAGATCGCTCTGAGTTGTTTTCTATATTCCAAAATTTTTGTGCTGAAATTAAAAATCAATTTGGTGTTTCTATTCGCACTTTTCGCAGTGATAATGCCTTAGAATATTTATCCTCTCAATGTCAGCAGTTTATGACTTCTCAAGGAATTATTCATCAGACCTATTGTCCTTATACCCCTCAGCAAAATGGGGTTGCAGAGAGAAAGAATAGGCACATCATTGAGACTGCTCGCACACTTTTCATTGAATCTCATGTTCCGTTGCGGTTTTGGGGCGATGCAGTTCTCACAGCTTGTTATTTAGTTAATCGGATGCCTTCCTCTCCCATCCAGAATCAGATACCGTATGCAGTATTGTTTCCCCAATCACCCTTATACTCTGTTCCCCCTCGTGTTTTTGGGAGCACTTGTTTCGTTCGTAACTTAGCCCCTGGGAAAGATAAGTTAGCTCCTCGTGCTCTCAAGTATGTCTTCCTTGGTTATTCTCGTGTTCAGAAGGGATATCGTTGTTACTCACCTGATCTTCGTAGGTACTTTATGTCCTCTGACGTCACATTTTTTGAGTCTAAACCTTTCTTTACCTCTTCTGACCATTCTGACCACCTTGATATATCTGAGGTCTTACCTATACCGACCTTTAAGGAGTCTACTATAGCTCCTCCTTCACCTTCCGCCACAGAAGTCTTACCCGAGTCTACTAGAGCTCCTCCTTCACCTTCCGCTACAGAAGTCTTACCCATTCCAACCGTTGAGGAGTCTAGTGTGGCTCCTCCTAGACTCCCTGTCACAGGAACACCACTCTTGACATATCATCGTTGTCCGCACCCAGCATCAGACCCAGCTGATTCACGTCGTGCACCTGACCCTGCTCCTACTGCGGACTTGTCTCTTCCTAGTACACCGATTGCACTTCGGAAGGTATACGGACCACCCTTAATCCTAATTCCCATTATGTCAGTTTGAGTTATCATAGTTTGTCATCACCCTATTATGCTTTTCTATCTTCTTTGTCCTCTGTTTCCATCCCTAAGTCTACAGGTGAAGCATTGTCTCATCCAGGATGGCGACAGGCTATGATTGACGAGATGTCTACTTTACATACGAGTGGTACTTGGGAGCTCGTCCCTCTTCCTTCAGGTAAATCTACTGTTGGTTGTCGTTGGGTGTATGCAGTCAAGGTTGGTCCGGATGGTAAGGTTGATCGTCTTAAGGCTCGTCTCGTTGCCAAGGGATATACTCAGATATTTGGGCTCGATTACAGTGATAACTTCTCTCCCGTGGCTAAGATAGCATCAGTCAGCCTTTTTCTATCCATGGTTGTTGTTCGCCATTGGCCCCTCTATCAGCTGGACATTAAGAATGCTTTTTTACACGGTGATCTTGAGGATGAAGTTTATATGGAGCAACCACCTGGGTTTGTTGCTCAGGGGGAGTCTCGTGGCCTTGTATGTCGCTTGCGCCGGTCACTTTATGGTCTAAAGCAGTCTCCTCGAGCCTGGTTTGGTAAGTTCAGCACAGTTATCCAGGAATTTGGCATGATTCGGAGTGAAGCTGATCACTCTATATTGTATCGGCATTCTACTTCGAGTCTTTGTATTTATCTGGTGGTCTATGTTGACGACATTGTTATTACCGGCAATGACCAAGATGGTATTACTAAATTGAAGCAACATCTCTCTCAACACTTTCAGACTAAGGATCTGGGCAAACTAAAGTATTTTCTGGGTATTGAGGTCGCTCAGTCTAGCTCAGGTATTGTGATCTCACAACGAAAGTATGCCTTAGATATTCTTGAGGAGACAGGAATGACAGGTTGTAAACCTGTTGACACTCCGATGGATCCGAATTCTAAACTTCTGCCAGGACAGGGGGAGCCTCTTAGCGATCCTGCAAGATATAGACGGTTGGTTGGTAAATTAAATTACTTTACAGTGACAAGACCTGACATTTCCTTTTCTGTGAGTGTTGTGAGTCAGTTTATGGATTCTCCGTGTGATAGTCATTGGGATGCAGTTGTTCGCATTCTTCGGTATATAAAATCAGCTCCATGCAAAGGTTTATTGTTCGAGGATCGAGGCCATGAGCAGATCGTTGGATACTCAGATGCTGATTGGGCAGGATCACCTTCTGATAGACGTTCTGCGTCTGGATATTGTGTCTTAGTAGGAGGAAATTTGGTGTCCTAGAAGAGCAAGAAACAGAATGTGGTTGCTCGGTCTAGTGCAGAAGCAGAATATCGAGCGATGGCTATGGCGACATGTGAGCTAATTTGGATCAAACAGTTGCTCAAGGAGTTGAAATTTGGTGAGATTAGTCAGATAGGACTTGTGTGTGATAATCAAGTTGCTCTTCATATTGCGTCAAATCCAGTGTTCCATGAGAGAACTAAACACATTGAGATTGACTGTCACTATGTTAGAGAAAAAATACTCTCGGGAGATATTGCTACAAAGTTTGTGAAGTCGAATGATCAGCTTACAGATATTTTCACCAAGTCCCTCACTGGTCCTCGTATTAACTACATATGTAACAAGCTCGGTACATATGATTTATATGCACCAGCTTGAGGGGGAGTGTTAGAATAGTTATGTAAATAGGAGTAAATAACCCTAATCCAATATGTATTAGGAGTAGGATATGTTGTGTGTATATATATATAGGGCTCATTGTATCGTGTTTTAACACAAGTTAATAATATCAATATTATTTTCTCCCGTGCTTTCTCACAGACATAAAAAAGGCCACCTAACAAATAGCACAATAAGAGGAACTGCCTCCAAGGACATTAATCAGACCACCTAACAAATAGTACAACAATAGAAACTGAGTCACCACAGCAGTAAATTATGCAAAGTTCTTTCTATACCATATGAGTTAAGGCAGCATAGCGTTCCTCATTTTGATACAATTGCTTCCCACGATGCACTTCGCTATCCTGCAAGTACTAAGAGAAAATTTAAGATCCAAATGATAAACACCAAATTCCATAGCACTGCACATGTATATCCATCCACACTAGTCTCGACAAGGATTGAACATAATTGACCCACAAAAGAAGGAAATACAAAACAAGGGGGGAAAAAACCACTTATCCTTCGGATCCTTAGAAATATCTTATGACAGATTAAGTTGGACTGTCACAAATTGGATACTTTGGAGACATTTCCTAACATGAATTTGACTGAGACCAAATTTCTTCTCACTTTTTGACTCAAAATATAGAACTAAATAAATAAATACATAACAAAAACAAAAAAGTTGAAGATGATTTGAGGGTACAAGAAACTTAGAAAGAAACTTCTCTTCACATAAAAAAAGTACATAACAAGATTGTTCCAGATTTTATTTTGAGCTTGGCGGTTCAAAATAGAGGGCAACCTTGAAATAGAACCTAAACTGCCACTTGATGCTTTTGCATCTCTAATCCTTCACATGTTTGAGTGTTCTGGTATTTTAACTTTCATCTTCTTCTTTTTTGGTGTAGTTCTTTTACTCCTATACATCTTCCATGGTACTCCACTCAGAGGCGGAGCCAAGATTTGAAACTTGTGGGTTCGGGATCCTAAATCTTTTAAGTTACTGGGTTCTAAATAAATAATTTATACATGTTCAATGAAGTTTTTAAGACAAATACATGGTTTGAACGAAAGCTACTGGGTTCGGCCGAACCCGTAAGTTATACTCTCCCTCCGCCACTGACTCCACTTCCACTAAGTATGTCAATTTTCAGTTGTATGGTATTTTCATAACGTGCTTCAGCATGCACCTAGTCCTGTCAGACTCTGTAATTCCCAAGGAATTTATCTGAAAGACTAATACTGTATTTACAAGCTTTGGCTCTTCAAGAGAAGTTTCAGATGTTTATTTATTTCCGAACTTTCCATTTTTCCTTTCAACAATTCTATTTTACAACTGGCAATTGGTCTATGTGATGCAAGATCAAGAATGCTAAAAATTCAAGAAATTCAAGAAGCGAAGAATCCATCCAAGATTAGGATTTCTTTTCCTTAAAGATTAGGATTTGTTATTTCTTGTTTCCTAGTAATTTAATTCTTGTTTTAGTAGGAGTATATTTGTAGTTCTAGTCAAACTAGGATTGTTAGTTGGTATCCCATTCCTACTAGAATTCTTTTTCCTATTTTAGTTAGGATAGGTTTTCTTAGCCTTATTCTTATTCTAGTCTAATTAGGATTAGTTTTCCTTAACCTTACCAATTTTACTCATTGTAAGGCCTATTTAAAGGGCTTAATATGCTGAAAATAAACATTGGTGATTAGTTTTTCTAAGCTATTGCTTCAAAAACATGATTTACTTTTTATTTCATTGTTTTTCTTTTGTTCAACGCTTCTTGCAATCATGCGGGATTGGGAACGTGTGGGTGAGGTTTCTTTCCATCTTACATTCTTCTAACGTGAGTTTGAAGAACGCTTCCGCTAGTTTTGTGAAAAACTTTAGCGGGGTGCTTTTGTTTTTCTCTCTTCTTTGTACTTGAGAGGTGCAAAACCTTGAAAGTACATCACTATGATTTGCAAAATTGACGTCTAGATAGATGAGCTGAATCTTAATATGACTACTAAGCAACAGTCCAATTATTTGCAGTACATCTATTACTGAACCACAGAAACCCGATTGAAGAAAGAGTAAGCCATATTTTATATATCAAAGATCAACCTTCTTCCCAAATAAGCTGCGCAAATTTGACAAGGCAACAGTCCAAATTTTTATCGTATACAAACGTAGAGGGTTTCTAAGTGGAAATAGTGAATAGAAGTGGAGATAAAGACAGCTTGTTGATGAACTTATACATTTATTCATATACTATAGATAGCCTATCTATCTTGATAGGTCAAGAGAGATAAGAGCCTAAGCAAGCAAGAATAAGCTGTTATTCCAAGTAGAGAGGTAGTGGATCCTATAGGATAGGAACTAATCTTTTACAAGCAAATTACGGTTAGCTGTATGAGGAATACAAATGGGTAGAATGAACCTTGGAACATCATTGTTCTTGAAGCTTTGATCAATATTAGAACATCAAACCATGTGTTAACACTATTCTTATACACCCATCCCCCTTTTTTGACAAGTAAAACCTTTTCTTACAAAACTGATTATTAGGTAGCAAGAGGTAGGTAGCCTTTTAAACCTCTAACAAAATAGTGCTCCATCAGTTGAAAGATTTAGCTCTAATTTGAATAAATGCATGACCCAAAATTCAACTTTAAAAATTAAAGCCCAAAACAAACTGGTTATAAGAAGGATATGAATTACTTGATTGTCTATCCCACTTTGTAGCAAAATCTCAATTAAGAAGCATTAAAAAGAAAGATAATTATATCCAAGCCAGTGTTATCAAAGGCGAAAAGTGCAAGAAAGCTCTAAGGTTCGTTGGGGCTTTAGGCGCAAAGCGCAATAAAGCGTGGGCTTTAATGAAAAAAGGCGCACCCGGAGAAAAAAGTAAAAAATAAGCATGAATAGCAAATATATGGACAAAGAAATTGGGAAAAAAATACGATAAAGTGAAATATCAATAGTTTAATGTCGTCTATTATCACACATTGCTGTACAGAGATTGTAAATATATGTCGCGTTCTATTGTTGTTTTGATCTATTGAACTGGTTTCCTAAAGGTGTAAATTATAGTCTAAGTAGGTATATGGATTATTAATATGACATCCTTCCCCCTCCTCGCCAACCCCCTTCTGACTACTGTGAAAATGTAGATTCAGACGTAATTAACAATCTGTCGAAAAGCGATGATAGGTTTTGAGTTTTTCTTTGATCTTTCTTAGCTTACTTCTGCACTGCCCTCCAGCTTCAACCAATTTATCTGCCTTACCTCGAACCTTATTAAAAAGATCTCTTTATGTTCCTTGATCCAATGAGCTCTGTCTCAGATACGTTTTGGAGAACTAATTTCACACATGGACACTGAATCTAATTCACTATAATGGAAAATTTAGTCAAATTGTAGTAATTAATTTTACAACTATAACAGTCAGGTTTTACCTGACCTTTTCTAGATATGGTAAAGTGTAAATTTTTTCTGTTTAATTTAATCAATGAGGTCATATTACAACTTTATGAGAGACTAGTAATGGAGACAAGTATGACCCAAAAGTAACACTCTTATGATATAGCCAAGTGTCATAATCTAGAAAGAACACATCTTTAACATAAATGACACAAACTTGACTATAACGAAAATAATAGCCATGAGAAGAATCAAGAGAGTAGAAAGTCTCATACTTCCAACAAAAACATAATTTTGTAAAACGCTCAACAAAGTGCACACTTTTATGGTATAACCAAGTGTCATAAGAAACAATAAAAAGTATACCTCCCATCCAAAGAAAGACACTTTACCGTAATAAGAAACAACTCCGGGGTCAAAAACAAACTTTAATCCCCAAGTATCCATATACTTTCCAACAACAACTCCACATGGCAACTTAAGAGATAGGCCAAGTTCATCATTGAATAATCATACAAAGAATATCAAAATACTCAAAGTTATGCATCTTTACCTCAATGGCCTTAGATAAACACAAGATAAGCATAAGCCAAGTGTACATACCATTCTTGCTTTCGGCCAAACGAAAAAGCTCTTGACGAATAATAAGCCAAAGTGTTAATTTCAAGACTTTCCTTACCCTTAGCAACTTTCCTTTATTGAACCTTCACAAAATAATCAATAAGGTTAGGTTCTTTTTGCTCACAATGATCAATCAAACCACCAAAAGAAACATTCTTACCTTTTCTCATAGAAGCATTAGCAAAATCTAACGAGAATGTTCTTTCAAAAGTAGGAATAAGATAAGTAAAGCAATTAATACTAGTGCTAGCATCAAAAACTTTATTTTCCTTTTTACTCGCAACCAAATCATTACCACACTCACATTCGCTCATTTCATCATAACAATTGAATCTTTCTTCGAAAGGATTGGAAATAGAGCATTCTTCTTGACTCGTTTCTTCGTAAAGTTCAAAACTTGCTTCCAACAATGTTCAAGTAGAGTCAAAAGAATCATCACATTCATCATCCCCGAAGGTGGACTATCATAAGACTCAACATCAGTCACATCATTAGCTAAAGAGTCGTTACACAAAGAGCGAGAAGCATCCAACAATACACAAGAACTCTTAACTAGTTGCAAGCCACCATTATCTTTCACATCACAAGATAAAGAAAAATCAAACTCACCAATGTCATAGCTATCTTTCAAACTCACAGTGTCACCACAATCAACTAAAGTACTACAAGTAGAAGGATAAGTTATTTTACCTTGAAGCACTTCTAAAGTATTCTCTTTACCTTGCACTTGCTCAATGGATTCCATAAGGTCTCTTGAAAAGGTAGTTTGATCTTCTTTCAGGCTCTTCAAAGTTGATTGAACTTCACTTGATGTCTCCTCTCCAAAAGTCCCTACACAAGATACAAAATAACTAGAGAAAGAAGAAAGGTTAGTAGCATTAGAATAAGGAAAATCTCCACTCTCTTTTTGTTTTCCCTCTTTCTTTTCTCTCATTTTGTTTTAAAGTTCTTCACTCTTTTCTTGTGACAACTCACTCACTTCACTCCACACTTTCTCTCCTTTTTCCAATCTAGAGCTGTCACTTTTCTCTCCCTCACTTCTCTCTTTCTTTTGTCTCTCATCCTTACTTTTTCTCTTTTCATTTTTCAATGATGTTCTCAAACTCATTTGGCCTCTTCCCCTTTAGTTCACTTCATCCCCCCTATATTCGTCACTGAAAACTTATTGGATGTTGTCCAACTCATTCAAGGTGGTCTCATGATCATGTTGAAAAAGTGGGTTGTTAATCGTTCGAGGCTCTTGAGGTGGTATGGTAGTGGAGGAGGGAGACTGTCCCTCCTTGGTGGTGCTTGAGGCACATGTTGTGGACATAGAGTTAGTGGTGGTCTAGGTTGTGGTGAAGGTTGATAAGGTTGTAGTTGATGTACTTGTGGAGGTTGAAGTGTGGTTGGGGGTTGTAGTTGGTGTTGGTAGTGGGGTGGCGGATAAGTGCAAGGTGCATTATAACAAGCATCAAAAGACACGACTTGGCTTGGCATAGTATAAACATCATAATCTCTCCTTGGACTAGGAGAATGACTTGTGAATTGATTTGCACTCCAAACTCCATGTCCAATATCTTGCCTTTCCACCAATTTATCCTCAAAGTATTTAGGAATGAAGGAATGTCCCCTTCCATCTAGATCAACCACATACATATTCCACTTTACATCAATTGGAAGATTATGATCAAGAAACCAAGGTCTCCTTTGGTTATAGTAACCATCACACCTCTATCACCCACGCACCCTGAAATTCATAAGGCGGCTCCCTTGGAATACAACTCAATCCCAACCATTCAACAAAGAAAGAAGCAATAAAGTTGGTCGAATAGTGATTACCTATAGCATCCAAACAACCCTCATAGCCTTCTACATTCGCTACATAATGCCTCAAATTTATCTTTTCCCACTTTCATCATAAAAGATTCCAACACTTGGAGAAGCACAAATAGTTTCATAAGAAGAACCGACATAACCATCCATACCTCCCTTATGACTCCTTGTACCTACAAAAGAAAACTTAAAGCAAGAAAGTTGGTTAGTCAAAAATAAGACCTCACTATTCACTCCCTCAGTGTTTCACTCAATATAGATGTCACTCAACACTTGTGTTTACACTGTCGAAGGCTTTTGCGACCTCACTCAATTGAACTCACCACTCAAGCCTTTTTCCACACAAGGGTATCTAAAAATTCTCTTCACAACCAACGTTCTCAAATCAATCCAAGTAGGTAATCAAGTATCGGTTCGGAATGGAATTTATGTGACACCAAAGAAAGCACAACTAAAAGCAAACGAACTTGAGCCAAACAATTCACAATGAAATTAAAAGAGAAAAACACGAAAGAAATGGCACGAAATAAAATAAGGCACACAAAGAAACTAGAAATAAACTCAATATGAACTAACATCAAGTTAATCTAGCTTAGCGTTTAGTTTACTACAAATTGGAAAGAAAGAAAAGAAAAGAAACTACAAAACTAGACACTTTTTCAAACTGTGGTCATATTCGCAAAACTGGCTATTTTTGTAAAGCTGGTCATTTTTGCAAGAACTGGACAGATTTGCCAAGATTTGCCACTTCCGTAAATGTAGACAGATTTGCAAACCTGAACTTCCAATTCTAGTTGCAATCCAACTTCAATCAAGTCCCAAACTATAGCTCAATCCTGCCCAAAATAACCACAAAAGTACAGAATTTTAACTGAAAGTCTTTGAGCTGTTTTCACTAGACTGAAATTGATGGATTGAAGCTGGAAATTGCAGCTGCACAGTCTAGGAAATTGCAGTTGAACCGGCAGAAATTAAGCTCAAACACTATAGTCAATTCCTCAGTCAACACCCTCCAAATTCAACCCCCGACTACAGCAAAAATCTAGATGAATTTCAGCCCAAAAGAGACTCACAACTTAACAAAAATCCTCCTCAAACTTTCAGCAGCAGAACTGGTTCACAATGTAGCTGGCAGAAACATTTCTCAACTGTAATTTTGCTGTTAAACAATGTAGAACTCTGCTCAAACTTAGCAGAAATTGCAGCTTCAAAATAGCGCAGGAATGCTGTCAAATACTGCTCAATTTCAGCAGATAACTGGAGCAAATAACTGGTGCAAGTTCTGAACAGAATGCCTAAGCTGAGCAGACTTTATCTGCACATATGTTGTCCCAAACCTGAAGCAATTATCTGCCTTTCTTCAAAATGCAACAGCTATTAACAGAGTGTTTCAGTAACAATCACTCAAACTCAGTTAACTCAACTTAAAGCCTTTCAAAATAGAACTGAACCAAACAGTCTCAACTCCACTCTCAGATGTTCAGAAACCAGAAGCTGTTTTTAATTCGAGAGTTTCAGAATTCAACCAAAGTTGTTTCTAAAGAGTTCATATGGAAGCAATGAATTAAAACAAGTCGACTCACAAAACCAGTTCAATAATTCTCAAATAAATTTACAGCAGATAGTTTCAAACCAACACTCGAGTGATTTTATTTTGTGTCTCACACAACTTACACTAGTTGTGTGAGGCCTCTTTTTATCTCACATATTTGTGGACCCATATCTTACACATATGGGTCCACAAAAATTCTGGGACCGCACAGTTGTGAGACAAAAAAGAGGTCTCACACAACTAGTGTCGGTTGTGTGAGGCACAAAACAAAAAAATTGGGAGCTAAACAACTGAAGATTTCACTCCCAACACTAGCTATTGTTCATTACTCAGTTCGAAATTTCGGTTCACAACAGCATTATTCATCAAGTGAAACTTACAAAATCAGTTCAACAATCCCAGCTGAATTTCCAGAAGAACAAAACAGTAATTTGAACCAATAACAACCTTGAGTCGACTTTACGAATTAAACAAGAAGATAATCAAACCCAACAGTAGCTTACACCATGCACTCGATGGATTAGGACTACAACAATAATTAGAAGCTATATTCAATTCCCAGAACTTGAAGAACACAGCAAGAAGAACTCAAACCTGAATTGTTGCGACGAATGAATTGCAATCACTAGCTCTACAAGTGTTCTTCTTACCAGTTGCTCGAATCGAGTCGAATCAATCCGCGAAGTTCTTCAAATTTGCAACTGGTGTTCTTAGGATCCTCAAGCCTCAGCAGTGATTTTTCTCCCAAAGCTCAACCAAGTGGAATCAATTTTGAATTATGAGCTACTTTCAAGCAGAGAATCAAACCCCCAGAAACTAATCTCAGCAAGCACAAGTCGTCTTCTTCGGCGAGTCGATATCGTAAATTTTCGTACTCAAACAAACTTCAATCTAATCCAAATTTCAGATTCAGCTTCAGAATAGCTTGAGAATCGATCCCCAAAATCAGAAGACCTAGTGTCGTCTTCCTCGTCGACAATCAGTTCGAAGTTTCGAACCCAAAACCCTAGCAACCAGCTCGGATTCAGTTGTAATCGAGCCCTAACTTCAGATTTCACCTCAATCAAGCTGTACCAACAAGATTAGGACACACCCAATATATTTCGAGCTCAAAATTTCGATTCGGAGCAAATCTCCCAATTTTCGATTTCTGTTGTTGGTCGATTTAGGTTTCAATTCTCAAACCAACTTCGAATTTCAAGCTCAATTCAGTAAATCGGAGATCTCAGAACCAAAATCAACAACGAGCACAAGGAATTCCAATTTCTAAATGAAACAGTGAAGAACAATGTATACGATTTCTAATTTTAACACGGATGAACAGTAACCTTTTTGTTTTTTTTTTGGAACTTTTTTTTTTGATTGTCATATTAGTTGATAATCAAAAGGAAGACCCAAGTATTGATACAAGTATTGATACAACAATCCAAAACGTGCCCTAATACCAAGATAAGCAATCATATCGAGATTACCGATAATGCAAAAATATAAGGAATTAAAAAGATGGAAGATTAGGGTTTAAAGCACAGAAAGACAATAAACTAACTAGTAACTAGTTAGCCACTTAATTTACTATTATAAACACTAATGAGAAAAACACTAATAAAAAATACGGATTAAATTAAGTAAAGATTGCAATCCAAAGCTCCTAGAAGATATGTCAACTAGAACAATGAATCAACATTCAAATACAAAACATAATCCAAGAGTATGAACATGACCCATACATGATAAACCTAACCTCTCAAGGTTTGGTCTTTGTTTATCAATCCATAATCAAAAGCTTCCTTTCAAAATGAGAGGAAGGCTATTTATACTAGAGTGTTATTTAGGCTAGATGACTAAAATACCTTTAGACTAGTAAGGAAGCTAAGTAAACCTAAATTATAAGACTGGCGCTATAGCTAAATTGCTAATATAGTCTTCTTGATCTTGACTCCTTCAGGGCAAACCTTTACCCCATTTTTGGTCCCAAAATGGGCATTTTCTCATTTTAGGGATAACTTACTCCAACCATTCCCCATTTTTTTCACATCCACTCATTCAATAAAAAAAAAGAGGGAAGAAAAAAGAAGTTGAAATATATTTTTCTCTCTTAGTTTTTGCTATAATAACAATATCTGGATCCATACGGACCACTCACGTGCTAATAATATATGCCGCACAGACAACTCACGTGTTGCATAGACAACTCACATGCAATAATATCAATGTCTGGATTCGTATAGCGTGGTCACATGCACAATATCATAATTTGCCCGGCATGGTCACCGGCATATCATCACAATCCGCCCAGCGTGGTCGTAGGCATCCAGTCCAAATCGTATCACACATAAGCAAGTATACAAGACACATGTATATGATACAATAACATGCTAATGTGTGCTATCATAGCTCAAACGACAATTTATTACAGAAATTGTAATTACCAAATTTATTTAGGGAATTAGCCTCTTTGTAACCTCAAGTATGGCTCAAATAGTTCACAGCGACGGTACAAATATGAGAAACATTATAGCTTAAAGCTTAACACTCAACTTAAGCATATCATAGCACAAGCACTACCCCAGGCGTGGATAAATACCTCGGTGCTCACATATGGGTTTCAACCCCACAAATACAGCGCCCATAGCATGTAGCTATAACAAATAATTCAGGCAACTAGTACCTCAACCAAGTTTAGATAGGATTCTTACCTCGAAAAAGCCAAAAGACACTCCAAATATGCCATCCTGTGAGTACCGACCTCTGAACGGCTCGAAACTAGCCAAAAGCAACTCAAGAAAAATAATGCAAAAGGAACAATCCCAATCGATAAAGTGGCATCTTTAATAAAAAGCCCAAGGTCAACCAAAAGGTCAAACCCCGGCCCGCATCTCATAACTTGACAAAACTCACAAAATTGGACAACCCATTCAATTACGGATCAACCATACTAGTTTCACTCAAATCCGACTCTGAATCGATGCTCAAAACTCGAAAATTCACTTTATGAAATCTGACACAAAAACCATAAATGTCACGACCCAAATCGATGGGCCGCGACGGGCACCCAGTACTTTACTCAAACGAGTACCAACGTAACGTATCTTTCGTATTATTCTACCATAGGAAAATGAACTGGAGTAAAGCATGAGGAAATACAAACTTATGACATACTGGCCTGTATGACCAACTGAATATAGGCCGACAAGGCCATACAATCTTTCACATACATTACAATACATGTCCTAATCATACCAACCAAATAAGCAACTCCGGAGCAAATAGAGCGCACCAACACCTTCCACTGAGCTGATAGCCTACTTGGAGGACTCTCAACCTATCTATCGAGACCTGCGAGAATGAAACAAAGTGTCCCCAGGGAAAGGGAACGTCATAAGACAATTATGCCTTTGAGTAATATCATGAAGCAAACTTTTTCAACTAACGTATTTTTCTGAGACCATGAACAGAAGATGTAATAATTAGGCACATGGGAATCCAAGAACATAGGCACCAGTACTACTTCTATGAGTAGAGTCATTTTATGGAAGTTATGCATTTACTCATTTTGTTTGTGTCGTAGAGATCGTTACAAAAGGAAAGAAAGGATAGCCTTAACAAACCTGACCCGATTCTTTTGACAAACTGATAACAACACGACAGAGGATTCAAGAATTACTAGAGAAAATGAAGAAATGTGCGGACTTTGAGGCAAGGGTCCACGTCTGTAGATGAGTACTTGAAGGCTATGGAACATCAAGCGAGCACCCCTCTAATCCTATGCATGACTCTTAACACTTCATTTTGATATCTTGAATACAAGACACTATCATCAAATTCCTTCAATTCTTTACACACATCAGACGTGAAGTTTTACACATTAGCAACGTGAATTCTTACCAATTTCCTACACATTCCTACAAAAGCACTACAACATGATGTCTTCAACCAAAATTCAACCCGAGATTTCATAGCAAAGTTAATTCATTTTCCTTATAGCAACGTTGTTGTTAAGTTCTTGGCCAAGATTTTGTTTGCATAGCAACCCGATTGCTTTGAGCTTTTCATACGACTTGTTCCGTATTTTATCGCAATTAACGTGTGTTAGAGGGATTGTCAAGAGAATCGGCTCAGGTATGTTAAGGATATCCCTTCTTTCTTTTACCACCGTGCTACGGCCGGTCGGGTAGTTACCACTGGTTGGGCAATTATCTATCATTATTTACCACTGGTTGGGCAGTCATGCTATTCATTTACCACCGAGCTACGGCCGATCGGGCAGTCATGCGTTTACCATTGAGCTACGGCCGGTTGGGCAGTTACATACTTACCACCGAGCTACGGCTGGTCGGACAGTTACCACTGATCAGTTGGACAGTCATGCATCATACGATGTGGATAATAGAAATAGTCTTAAGAAGAAGCGTTATATATGTAAGTATACTAAGATGAATATATGGTGGCACTTCAGAGATTCAGGTTGATTCTTATGTCTTTAATTCATGTTGACTTGTTGTTATATTTCAGTTATGCCTTACATACTAAGTACATTATCGTACTGACGTCCTTTTGTTGGGGGCGCTGCATTCATGCCTGTAGGTATAGATAATCATTCGTAGTGCAGCCGAGTCTATGAGTCATCGTGTCAGAGTTTTGCTATAGACTTATAGGTAGGCCGGTACCCTGTCCCATTTGATGTTAAATAATCTTAGAGGCTTTGTAGACAGAGGTTCAGTTTGTACAGTATGTTAGAGGTCGTGACGGCCTATTTGTATCGTGTTTTAAGAACGATAGTTTATTGATACAGTGTTGCCCACTTACAGTTGTACATTATGAGTCGTGGCCATGTGGGCCCATGATAGTTACAAAAGGAATGAGTTCAGCTAACTCGGCCTTTATATGTTCTAGAATTGGTCAAACGATCAAAAGTTAAATAGTGTTTCGCTCGGGCCAGCAAGGCACCGGGTGCCAGCCACACCTCCCTAGCTTTGGGGCGTGACAATATTTACTTTGGATCATCAATGGAATAATTCTTTTCGTTCTTTCTCAACTTTCTTTAAATGTAAGCAATTACTTTTCCTGGTCTTTCTGCCCAAGTTGCGTGCATACTTAGCTTATCTTAGTGCCCACACATACTGAAATTCCATACAACTCATATGATCTCGAATATCACTTCTGATTTTACTCCCCGTTCATTAGCCACAGTAGGCGCTACTTTCTTATGAAGTGCATGCAATGTTGTTGTGGGATTGTTATTACAAGATCGTTCCCTCTTTGGGTCACTAAGCTTAGGTTGAAGTCTTCTTCCTTACTTCCTCAGATTGCAGTACTTAGGGAAGACCCTCTGACTCTTGTAAAGCTGCAAGCTCATTTGTCACGACCCAAATTGATTGGCTGCGATGGGTACCCGGTAACTTACTCAACCAAGTACCAACATAACTTATCTATGATAGCATAGATAAGCAGACATGAGATAAGAAATCCAGTCTTTCACTAGATTCGAATAGCGGTCCCGAATTCAATTTGAGTCTATTTCGACTCTTCCTCAGAGAACTGAGCCGGAAGGCTGCCTCAATAAGTAGAATACAACATGTGATACCAAGTTATACATAAGACATACGTGCCTATAAGACCAAACTAACCACTCGTACACAGAATATAGGCCGATAAGGCCTACAATCTTTTACGTACATGACATGTCTACAAGCCTCTAAGAATATATAATTTTTATAAAGGTCGGGATAGAGTCCCGCCATACCAAACAATACACGTCTCTTATGTGACACCGCCGCTAGGGCTTACGTCTCGTCCGGGACATCCGGAGTAATTAGATTGATCCACCTAGGGGTGATACTATACTTCCATAACCGTACTTTATAGCATCCCAATGTGACTCACCTTATATGGGTATTTTAAACCCTTACAATTCATGAAATCTTTTTCAAGTCATTACCGGGGCAGCATTCCATTAGAGGATCCATCAGCTCTCTTAATTTCATGAGCTTAATCCCAAGAACTTATCCATTCTTGTCACCTTTTCACTCACATTTCTTATCCTTACTCCTGTCTTCCTAAAACCTTGTCGCCCTACCATACTTTAGCTTGCGACCTACACATATCTAATCATAGATTTCCTATGTTATTGTGGAACATCAAGTGAGACGTCACATCGTCTCTAACTCTTCTTTTACTCTCTAATTAGACCTTTCGGTACTTAGAAGCCATAGGCTTAAAGGTATGCCACTGACGACGATGCTATCATTCCTGGATACTATATCCCCGCGCTTCTAACCTTTTATCCGCATATGGGCTATTCACAACCTTCTGCATCTGAGTATCTCGTAAGTTGTTCACCTTACCTTTCTTTACCTTAAAATCTTGCATCGTATCTTTTATATCTTTCATGACCTGCCTTCCACTTAGGTATAATTCACGTTCACAACTTGAAGCTCTATCATAATACTTGCACCTCTGGGGCATACACAATTCGGTGGGAGCTTCATACTAACTTCTTATCGTAGAGCCGCTATAGAATATGGCT